CGGACGTGGGTGGTGTTTGGCGCCACCACCTGGCGTTCGAATCAGCGTGTTCTGGGGGACTTGGGTTCACAAGCCATACGCCCAGCACGGGCCGATGATCCACACCAGTCTCGCCTGGGCAGCACGGCATTGCTGGGACCCGAGCGGGCAGCCAACCACGGATTTCCGAGAAGGTGGACGCCGGGGAAGCACGGAGGTTGCTTCTGAAGGCAAAACATTTTTTGAGCCGAAAAGCGCTCCGCTACTTGCTGGGCCGCTTAGGAGCTGTAGTGGTTTTTCAACCATCGATATCGATTGTAGCGCTAAGTTTAGGTCCGGTTTCGACCGGTTTTGATGGCAGATGAGCCAGCGGTTGGGGGTGGCAGTACGTCCAGGGTGGGTTTTTTTACAAAAAACAGCGAAGATTTCACTTTTGGCAAATTTTGCTATGTCAGGGTTCGATCACCGACCATTTAGGCACCGACCCTCCATCGCTTTGGGCCATGTCTCACCGCAGTAGGTACGGAAGTATGCGACTGGGAAACCTCACATTAGGAATTGATCCACCACATCAGTTTACTGAAAACCGTCACCCCAAGGCTCTAATCCTCCCCATGCCTCACTGATTCGTATTTCACACGCCACAAAATGTTGAGGGGGCGTTTCCCACCATCATCGCGCGTGGAAACCAAATACGCTAGAAGGAACAGCCCCTCAGGGGCAACTCGTTGGTTGTAGGTGTTGGTCGGCAATCGGATTCAAAGGGTGTGATCAACGGCAAATGCTGAAGTTGGGTGTTCTAGTACGCAAACATCAGCTTCTCATGAGGTTCATTGATGGCCGTGCGTGTAGGGCACCATACCAAAGCGGGTTTTGCAATCGTCCCCTCCAACTAACACAGTAGCGCAAAGCCATGACGTCCACTTCACGGTTGCACGACCTGGGTATCAGATCCGCCGTGCACCATTTTACCCATCACCACGGTCATTTACCCGTTTTTCTTCTTCTAAACAGCAATCTATTCCAAAATCCCCAGCATGGTATACGATTCAGTAGCGAGTGGGCCACTGGAAGTGTCCTGACAGTTATGGAGCGACAATCCTCCCTTTCAAAAGGCACCGTTTCCGGGTAACTCGATGAGAAGCGAGTGCTTGCGGTTTGGAACACCCAACTTCAGCATTTGCCGTTGATCACACCATTTAGCTTCCCATCGTTGACCAGCAGTAACAATCAATCAACGAGTTTCCCCTCAGGCCGTCATCGTTCTGTAGCTGCTTGTGTTGCACGTGTTGTGACGATGGTTAGCGATGGCCTTACAAAAATTTAATCCGCGTGAAATACGAATCAGTGGATCATCGGTAGGAACAGACGAGGGCTGACTGGTAAGTGGAGGTAATGGTCGCCCTTGGCCTCAGAATTACTGTGAACGCTGAAGCTGAGGTCTCCTGAACACATTCTTTGCTCCCGTGGACCTCGTGGCATCCGGGAATGGAGGGCATCGCACCCGAACCCCGTGGGACCAAAGGCAGTCCTGAACAGAGTGTATCCCCTGAAACGGGTGGTCCTCGAGAAAGAGATCCCCCAGGGTTATACGGCATACGCGCGGTGGCCGTCAAAGGTGGTGCTAAGGTGCGAGTCTGCCGTCGCCGCGGCTAGGCCGGCGGGCCGACCATTCGGTCATGAAAAATTTCGAAAATGGAGGTGTCCAAGTCGCCGTGTGGCATGCGGTGTGGTTGGTTCATCACACCCCTCGAAACCCTAATCTGCGTGGAGAGGCATGGCTCAGAGCGATGAAGGGCAGGTATCAAGCAGGTGGACGTGGATCGGACCCAGCCATGGCGAAATTTTTGCCAAAGTTGCAATTTTCGCTATTTTTTGCAAAAAATGGCCATCCACGACGCATTGCCACCCCACCGCTGGCTCGCCTGGCATCAAATAGGTCGAAACTGGGGTCAGATTTAACCGTCAGAATCAATATCGATTTGGTGGCCGACAAGCCACCTCGGCCTTTCAGCGATCATGGAACGAACGCTATTCAGCCAAAAAATCACCCCAACGTTCTCCAAGTTGGAGACATCGCCGGAATTCCACGGTTGACCTCCCTCCCGTCTCGACGGGAGACGGGATGCCCGAGGTCGCTACCGGCTCTCCTGCTGAGCTCGTGAAGAGTCAGCTCTGGTAACCAGAATCGAGCGAACAAGGTGATTCGAGCACCAACTACTGGTGACGAACACAACCCGCATTCCGGGCGATTTCGGCGGTTATGGCACTTCCGTGGGACCCTCTTCTGACTGAATCGTATTTTAGGCTGGATAGGTTAGAAATAATCTAAATTAGAGAAGTCAGACTGATAAGTGATAAGGGAGGTTTGCAAAAACCAGGTAGACGGTGAAATCGATCACCTATGGCGCAACCGCGAGCAGACGATCATGCCACTGAGCCACCGATTTCCCAATTGAACTGGCCTAGAACCTGCTGTAATACGTGCCGCCAACGAAAACGTTTCATTTCTCCTCTCAGAGCAAGTTTTCAGATTTAAGAGGCAGATTTTGGGAACAGGTGGCTACTTACATTCTGGTAACCTTTATGGTAACAGTATAATAATTAGACAGTTTCAGGGCCCTGTGGACCAGCGCGCTACTGGTTATAGCTGGAATGTGGCGAAATTTCTGCCAAATTTCTCAGAGCTATGCTCATTTTCCCAGAAAAGTTGGTGATTGAAGTTAAGGGCATCCATGGCGCGGTATCGCGGCCGAACCGCAAACTGTACCTATCTGGTTGACTCAAAACAGATCCAGATGAATAGGGATTGCACAAGTACCAAGCGGAGATACCACCTGGACACTTATCAGGGAAGATACCTTTACCAGTTAGGCATTTGCCTTTGGTTGCTCTTCATACCATTAACCAACGGTTACCGCTGGTATGAAATAAAACCGAGTTCTATCCAGAGGCCGTCGATAGAGGTCGAACCGTCGTCAAGAGAACATGAATGAGATTCCAGTCATCATATCGTCATCACAATCAGGGCACGGTCACGCTGTCGTAGAAAATTTCAGCCACATACGACCCCCAAGTAGAAATTTCCTCTTCTAGTCCCTCCCTTCACTTTGTTCCCGTTTTACTCACCAACTTCCTAAGTGTTCCCAACTTCCTACTACTTTCCTGAAATTTCCTGAAAGTTGTCAAATTTCTCTATTTGTCGGTATTTATATTTATTTCTCAAATTTCTCTTCCTCTCAAGAGCAAATATGACCCTTTCTCCCTTCTCCCTCGATAACACCCCCCCCCCCCATTCCCGTTGAGATCCCCAGCGTATGGTCCTGATCACAAATCCCAATCAGCATTGCTTACTAGCCAAGTAGATATTGAGTTCATTCGTGACAGCTGGTGATAACCTGTGATATATAAGGGGAGTAAGGGGAGTTATTTCACTTACAGGCCTAAGTTAGATAGGGCAGGACCGTAGAAGCAGGCATAACCCTAGAAATACCATTCATGGGAACTGTTAGCCATATTCTCCTTAATTGCTGACCCTCACATTAAAGACAAAGAGTGATGTCCAAAAAATTCAACATGAGCTCGAATTATTAGCGTATATTTAGGATCTGAACGTAAGGTCGAACGAGGTGTCGTTTTCTTCAGTCAAATAATGGGGAAAAAAAAAAAAAGGCAGCGTCAGACCTTCGCGACGAGAGCGCCTCGTACCGTTCAGCGGCGATCGATGCAGCTTTCAACTGCCATTGATCGCTGTCGAACGAGCGACCGAATCGCTGCCGTCGTCCGAAGTTGACGCTGCCTATACCGTTTCCCCCATTAATGAATTCCGTGCCCACGTTTCCTCAGGCTTTCCTTCGCTTACAGCTGTACTCTCAAGGGTTGATACTTACAAAAGAAGTCCGTGTTTACCTCGAGAGTAGTAACGGGAACTGCCCGTAATAGGAAAAAATACCTGGCAGCGAGAAGATTAATAAGTAGAGAGTTGCTCACACCTTGGCATTCGCGTCCGCAAGTGTGATGGCAATTGAATGTGTACTGAGACTACATGACTACTCGCGGGCATAAGTCAACACCCATGCAAACGCTCTTATCATTCAAACAGTCAAGGGTGCCTGGAAAAATTGAAGCAGGTGACTTTTATGGGCGCGATCCGCACCACGGCTCCTGCGTCCGCTCTACACCGCTCAGAGAGCACACTTTTGCAAACACTAGCCCCACACTGCTTTGATGAAGGCACCTAAGTCTCAAAAGATGTTATCGGTACAACGAGAAATTGCTCAAAGGTTTTCCCCACCTTCTAGGTCTTGCAGTCAGCTTTTTGCTAGAACTCTGGATAAATAGTCATGAAGTTCGGGTTACGGCCAGTCTGCGATCGTCGCGTTGCAGCTGCATCGCGTACGCGTTAATCGCACCAGGATCGGCGTTTGAGGTCGAATTATTGGAAAACACTACATTGGAAAGTCCGCTAGATAAGAAATTCCCCCTCCCCCCCCCACTCGCGCCAACTACATTCTCGTCGCCGTAACTCCGATCTCCTGCCCCCCCCCCCTTCTCAACGTCCCGAGAAAGGAGCGCCTCCCTGGGACCTGTCGGAACTCATCCCATGGAAGGAAGGTAATCTAGAAAGCTCAACATAATCTCGAGATGCAGTGCAGACATCTGGCCCAATATGCCTACCGCTGCTGCACCTTGTGAGATGGCCCCATTCTTATGACTCCCCCCTCCCCCAAAATGACAGCCGAAGCTACTTCACCCAAACCATCATCAGGACCATCACAGCCATGCACAAAAAGTTTATTTCATTAACCGCTAATCAGGCTAGAACAAAAAAAATTCGAATTTGCACAAAAATTAATAGAAATACACGTGGCTGAAAACGTAAAAACAATGAAACAAACTTCGCTGACAACAAATTGATCAAAATTAACACGGCCACCGGTTAGCATTCGGCCTGACCATTCGAAAGAATCGAATATCGATTAGAGCAAATTCATCTACACACTGTTGTGGCTGTCTGTGGTCTAGAGATCGTCATCATCATCGGGCAAGTCAGCCTCTCCTGCTTTTCTCAAATCGTCTTCGTACTGAGCAACCATAGCTGGATCCATCGTAACCTAGAAAAATATTATTATAATTGTGTTACAAAAATATATAATACATAAAAGCATTTTGTAAAGAGAAATAATTTACCTCGGGAGGAGCAAGTGCCGGCATGGCGACGAACTCGAGATTAGGATCACCCAAAAGTTTACGGGCTAGCCATAGGAATGGCTTTTCGAAGTTGTAGTTAGATTTAGCAGAAATATCGTAATACTGAAGATTCTTCTTGCGATGGAACGTGATCGTCTTTGCCTTCACTTTTCGATCTTTGACATCAACCTGAAAAATACAAAATGCAGAAAATGACTTCAACCAAACCGTAAAATCAATAAATATCTGCAAGCAGACATCTTGAATAAGCTTGAGGTATAAATAGCCAGAAAACTTAAGAAGCGCATACTTTGCACTAGCGTTTTGAGCGACTATGAAAGTAAAGTTATCGAAATATTACCCTGTGCTCAAAACGCTAGATCGATACCTGTGCTTTCCTAGGCGCTCAAAGCGCTGGCGCAAAGTCTGAACACACCCTTAATAGGTCCAGCATAGGTACCGAATAGAAAGGCGAAAAAGGTCCTTTTAAAAGGCAATATAACGGAAAATCTTTGCGAGCAGCCAACCGGCAATATAGGAGTCTACAAACAGGCCGCATCCATACTCTGTGAATGTATAGAAATTGTGAATTGAGAGAATGCGCGCAAAAGGTTATGTAGCGATGTGGAGAGCCCACGAATTCGGGAAATTCTATGTTCATTTCTGACGCTCGTTCCTCCAATTCTACTGTTCTACACCAATAGCTCCCTTTTCTTTCTCTTGATGTATTCCTCCCACTCTCATAATTTCCGAATCGCGATTTCTCTAAAGAAAGCGGTCTTCCCTAGAGCACATGTATTCACCGTTAAACATTGAGCCGGGTTCACAGTGTTTTGCTGATATATGAGAATCCGCAGAAGGGACTGAAAACCAACCAATTCTCCTGACTCAGGCATGGATACAGTAGACTAACCGATTCGTACCCAGCCCGTTCTCCCCGATATCCCAGTGGCTGGAGCCAAACAATCGACTTTGGTCTAGCATTATTCGCAAATCCTAAATTTCGCAGTAAAGCACTAAGTGTAGATACAACATCGTGCAAGTGTCCATCGTAGCAAACGTCCAGACTCAAACTGCTCGATTAATGGTGTTTCACAGATTACGAGCGGAACTTTGTAAATATGGATTACTGACTTGAAAGAGGCCGGCAAGCATTCGAGTGCAAACGGCGCCTTCCGCATCTTTGGAAGCTTCCTCGTACACGCCGAACCTGTGCGCTATCCCACCACAGTCGCTTTCGAACATTCAGCTCAATGGCTTTTGTGCCACAGCCGTCATGGTGGAACGACTTCCCTTCTCCTCAGAGCGCTTCCCAGAATTATGCCACAACTTGCAGGACAAAGCTGCCTTTGACAGTTTCAACCCCGAAGGCAATGTCATGAAGTGAATTGAGAAACACAAAGATAACAAGCGGCAGTGGTTCAAGAAGAGGCAAACCCCGACTAGACAGTTTCCAACAGATCGTAGATTTACCCCTCAGGTGAGTTCATACTTTAGAACGTTTAAGAATCTTGTTTTCGTTTTGGACGGATATTAAAGCGCCTGAAACGCCAACGTTTCAGGCGGAATGCCAGCCTTAAATGATGGTTGGATACTCGCAATTTTCACCGCGTTTCCGCGTATGAAAATTGCGAGTATCCAACCATCATTTAAGGCTTTTTCGTTTTTTGCGAAAAGCACATCCTAGGCTATGCTTTTCGTTCAGAACGCTGGCGTTTCCCCAAAACGCTAGTTCGATATCTATCCCTTCTTTTTTCCCCAGATCCTCCCTAAACGCCAATTCAACAAAAATGCTCAAAAAGCCGACGCTAAGAATAAAATCAGCCTTAGCGTCACCCTGTCTAAAAGTTTACGGTGCTATCGTAGTCGGGAGGGGCCACGCGGCTCGCGGTGAGTGATCACTCATCGGCTCTTCATTCATCGGCATACTTGCTGAAGAATTCCACAGAAGCTAAAAATTTGATTTTTGTAGTCAACAATAACAGTCAACGACAAACATGCAACAAAATTTTGTAGTTTAGGCAAGAACCTTGCAGCCTAAAACTGTTTCTTTGCACTTTTCAGTGTTAACTGTTTTAACTGTTGACGTTAGATTGGTGTCCTAAACACGAAACTATTTCTCTTTTGCCGAGGAGGGAGCAGAAGAGCCGATGAGTCACTCGTAGTTGGGAGGGACCTCGCTCGCCGCGAGGTCCCTCCCAACTACGTTAGCACCAAATTTACTATGCTACAACAGACGGACTGCGTGTTCACGGACTTCTTAGATCGCACTAGCGCAGGGAAACGCTCAAAAGCTGTCAGGCCTCGTCCATAATTTAAATCTAAATCAACTGATTTTGCCCACGAACCTCTTTAGAGAAAGCGCGATTCGCGAGAGTGAAGTCAATCAATTCAGGTCTAAAACTGAGCGCGTATTTTCGAAAACCACAGATTCGTCAAATCAACAAGCACACCTTTGGTGAATACTGATCAACGCACTACTTATCGTTGCACTGCGTGTCGCATGAGAACAGCAAACATAAACGTTCATTTGAACGCAGCATATCTCATTCCCAATGTAAAATCCGAAGATACGACC